CTATCAAACACTGATGATGGAAGTTACAATCTGACGACTTCCAGAAGGCTACAATTTGAAGACTTTCACGTAGATCGATGAAGGTTACAATCTGACGACCTTCACAACAATTGATGAAAGCTCTAATCTACGACCTTCATAATCAACATCGGGAGTTGCAATCTGAAGACTCTCATATATCAAAGAGCTAAAGCAAAGATTATAAAACGACGATCTTTGCAACGCTCTAACAGAAAGAGACTACAAATCGATGGTCTCTTCAAATCAAGACGTGAAAGTCCTCTCTGCATACCATCATTAAGACGCAACACCAATTTGATCGGGAACGCAGCTTCATCCACTGTAAACGCAAATGCAGCCTCATATATGAGATGATTGATCTTGATGGCTGCGACAATGACATGACTAATAGTATATTAGCAACTATTAGAGGTGCTGATGAGCAGTATAATGATTTTAGAAAAGAGAGAAGATCTAGAGAGCTGTTGGCAAATATTCGACATGCTGAGAAGCACATGGTTGACCCATGCAAAGAGATTTTAGTGGAGATCGTGACCTGCAGTTGATAGAATGTTATTGAGATGCCTCAATAGGACCTTCTCGACTGGTCATTGGTGTTATCCATATATAAAGATAGAGAGGGCAAACGCAGCTTCACGTAGCTTCATATCGCTACAGAACGCAGCTCCAATCACTACAAAACGCACCTTCATGAAAATGCAAAACGCAGCTCCAATCACCGCAAGACGCAGCTCCATATCGCTGCAAAACGCAGCTTCACATCGCTGCAGAACACGCTTCCAAGTACTGCGTTCAAACGCAGAATCTAAGCCAGAACGCAAGTCAAGGCTCTGACTCATTCAAACGCGATCCATACGGTTACGAGAAAACTGCTGTTCATCCACGATCGGGGGAGTGTTTTTAGTGGGCTGTTATACCCGATTAATGGGGCGACTAAACCCTCATTTAGGAGCGGATTAAGGGGTCAATTACACCTCTAATCTCCCTATAAATATTAACAAACTCAATAGAGTTGGGGGGGGGGGACTTTTGGAGGTGAATTTCTGGAGATCGGCTTTTGGAGATAAAATCTGGGCGAGGATCCAAAAGCAACAATCTTTAATAACTGAAGATTACCAGATATTTGATACTTGGTTTATTAACCGAATTATTTCGGTTCAAACAACTCTTCTCCACCAGAGTTTGTTACTGATCTTAAGCTACAAAACTCATTAAGAGCTCTTGATCAGGACGACCACACAAGTCAGTTGTTCTAGTGAATTGAGACATTCGGATCGTTAACGAGAAGCAGACTCGACGCGAGCATTCGAGAGAGGCATCTCACCGCTACCGTGAAGAACCCAGATTTAAACAAATGAGAGGATTAAGATCAATCCTCTTCTCTTTTGTAATCAGGAATCCAAATTGTAATTGAGAGTTGAGAGAGTTGTAATCATTTCTTTTTCTAAGCAGTTAGAGGGAATAAAATCAGACACGATTCTTTCATCATTTTCTTATTAAAAATTTTCCAACAAACAGCTTCCTATTAGTAGTGGCGTGAAAAGAGGCTCCTGAATCGATGACCCAAGAATCCGAGTCGCTATCCATAGCAAGGATCAAGGCATCCTGCACGATGTGAGCCTCCTTCTCATCTGCATCCTTCTTTGGACTTTTGCAGACTGAAGACATATGGCCCTCTTGGCCGCAGTTCCAACACTTCCCTTTGATAGGCATAACCTTCAAGTTCGATCTCTTCTTCACTGATTTTGACCGATTCCTGTTCTGGTTTCCTTTCTTCTGGCTTCTGCCTTTCTGCTCAAAGTTTAGAGCTGAACCTGAACATTCTAATTCGGACGATTTCCTTCTAACCTCCTCAGATAGAATCATGCTAACAACCTCACTCAGCTTCAACTTCTCCTTCCCCGGCGAATTGCTGATTGCCGTCACACAACCTGTCTAACTATCCGGTAACTACGATAGAATCAATAGGGCTTGTACTTCGTCATCAAACGTGATGTCCACGGAGATAAGCTGATCAACAATCGTGTTGAACTCGCTGAGGTGCATCGTGAAGGACCGTCCTTCTGCCATCTTGAGGTTGAAAAGAGTTTTGACGAGATGCACCTTATTTGCTGCCGACGGTTACTCGTACATCTTTGCAAGCTCTTCCATAAGCCTCACCGTCATCTTCTCTTTCAAAATCTTGTGGGCTACTGATTTGGCGAGCGACAACCGGATTTGTCCTGGAGCCTTCCTATCCAGTATCTCCTAATCACCATCTGACTCCTCCTTCTTCTTTCCCTTTTGCTTGCCCATCAACGGGCGATACAAGTCCTTCTGGTACAGATAGTCTTCCATCTGCGACTTCCAGTAGGCCCTTGCCCATCAACGGGCGATACAAGTCCTTCTGGTACAGATAGTCTTCCATCTGCGACTTCCAGTAGGCGAAATCTGAACCGTCAAACTTCTCGATCTGTGATTTGTTTTCCTCTGTCATGTTTTTCATACAAATTGCTGAACGAAGCTCTGATACCAGTTGTTGGGGATTCAAAACAATCAATCGAACCCTTACCCTTCCGGACCTTGTGTTGAAAGTAGGAGAGTAGGAATAATACCACAAATAAAGATCTAACCATGCAAAAATAGTAAAGGAGACGAACACCCAGATTTAACGAGGTTCGGCAACGTGCCTATGTCCTCGAGAGCCACACCACACAATTTCTTTATTAATTGAAGAAGAAATGCAAGCTCTCAAATTAGGGTTTAATCTCTCTGAGATTCTCTCTCTTTCTGCAGTTAAAAACTCTCTTTTTCTCGTGTTGTTCAAACCCTATAAACGTTTAAGGTATATATAGAGTCCTGGTAGAAACAGAATCCAAAACAGTTTAGGAAACTGTTTGACAACGTCGCGATCGACCGTGACGGTCGACCGTGCAGGTCTCGCGGTCGACTGCACACCAATCGCGGTCGACCGTATCAAAAACCTGAGACCAAAAATCCTATAGGGTTGGCGCGATCGACCGCCGCGGTCAACCGCCTTTGGATCCAGCTCCTCCTGAGCTCCTGTGTACGTTCGCGGTCGACCGCCAGATTCTCGCGGTCGACCGTGGATCTATCAGGTCGTTTTCTTCGTTGTTTTGATTCCAGCTTTCATCTCGACTTTGGGTCTACACATTAGACTAACAGTTCTAGAAGATAAATATTAGGGTAATAAGACCCTCTCCTATTACCACCAAATTGGGAGGATATAGACTCGTTTCCTCTATGTTGAATTAGAAACTGTTATTTAATGACATTTATTTTTTATTTTTTATTTTCCTTTTTGAAGATGCAACTTTGCTCTCATCAAATTGGTTATGATAAAAAAAATTCTACTATCAAATTGGCTACAAAATTTACATCATCTTTTCTCTATACATTGTTCTGAACTTTTCTTTTTACAATTTAGCAAACTAAACTTTAAAAATACAAACCTGCTTGGAATGCTTATCTTTACAATCGAACCTCCTATCAACCAAGCAATGCCGAAGCATCAAAGTATATTAATGTCTGTATGCAAGTAAAAAGAGATTTTTTTTCGAAAGCTGAGAATTAGAAAGTTAATGGAAAATAAAAGAATAAAATGACTAATTCCTACTTAAAATGTTGCCGAATTCTAAATCTATTTTTCCTCTTATATTACATTTGCTTGTCCAATGCCTTCTTTTTGTGAAGAACCGTCAAATACTTAATAGATATTTATAAAATTTTAAATTAACAACACCTTAAAAAGTTTAAAATTAAAAAAAAAAACACCTTGAAACAAATTCAAAAATAATAAAAGACCAAAAAATATTTAAATAGCCCCCATGAAAATTTATAATTACAAACGACAATTGAAAAATTCAAAATTTGCAAAAAGCACACAAAAAATTAAAAAGTAGAGAAGCACCTTGAAAAAAATTTAATTATGGTGCTTTTTTGCAAAATATGAAATTTTCATGGTGTTTTGGAAAATTTAAAATTTTTAGGGTCTTTTGTTATTTCAGATTCTAAGGGATTGTTTTTAATTCTTGAATTGGGTTTTCTTTGTAATTTTGAATTTTTTGAGTGTGTTTTTTATAAAATTAGATTTTTTAAGGTTGGGAAATTATGAGATTTTCAAGGGACTTTTTATAATTTTTGGCTTATTTCTATAATTTTTAATTTTCAAGATGTCATTTGTAATTTTAATGAAGTAGTTTACAATTTTTTGTAAAAAATCCTCAAAAACATTGATACACCTCCTTAATATCCATTAAGTATTTGGCGATGGCTTCACTAAAAGCATGGGGAAAGTAAACATAGTATAAGAAGAAAAATAATTAAATTGATACCTTACAGAGTAAGTTAGTACTTAAACATTACTTTAAGGGAAGTTTGTCATTTTGTCCAAAATAAAAGTGGAAATGGAGCAGATAATATTATTTGGGTTAATTTTAGAAACCTCCTTCAATTATGGGGGTGTCATAGAAACCCTCTTGAAATATTTGAATTCGAGTGGATCCCATCAATTTTTAGGGTGTTGTAGATAACCCCCGTCATTAAATTTTAAAACTCAAGGGAGTTTTTGGAGGCACCCTATAATTGAGGGTTGAAGTCGAATTTTAGAAGTTGAAGGGGATCGTGTATACCACACCTTCAAAATAGAGAGGGATTTTACTGGAATTAAAATAGTTGATGAGGTTTTTGAGACACACACCCCCATTCTTGAGGGCGCACCCCTATTCGTGAGGGGGTTTTCTATTAACCCAATATTATTTTACCATTCAATTGTTATCATATTACGAAAAAATCCTGGCGAGCAATCAAAACAACCAGACTATAGGAAATATGATAATCTTGTTGATACATCTTTCGCATATAACGTGTAAACCAAAAATGCAATATTAATTGTTCATGATAACCATCCACGGTAAAAGTTTTTCTATACATGACCCCCAAAGATTGAACCTAGCCACAGCATCAACCAAATCTTCAACCTAACCAGTGGAGATATGAACGCCAATTGCAATAAGAAATATGGTAATCAAACCAAAGAATATAACAGTATGAACACATATAGAGACCCCACTAGTCTGAAAATTTGCGAACTCCACAACTCTACTATTTCCGGGCAACTGAAACAGGAGGCCGGGGCTGAGGAGGACGAAGAGCACCACCGCAATCACCACTGGGCCCCAATCAGCCATCTCTCTTCTCTTCTCTTCCCTTTCTGAAAAGTAAATGAGTATCAGATTGAAGAAGATAAGATGTTATTTATATTTGTTACTTATAATCATAGATAAGAGCATATTTTCTCCGGCTTTGATGTTGTTATAATAATGATCAGTTACTACTTATCTTGGGTTGGCCGGCGGCAATAACTTGGCATCATTTGTTGGATTTGTTGCATTGATGTTGATGTTTATGGAAGTTACTGGAAAATCTCAAATTATGCCAGTAACTGTTGGATTTAAATCTAATTAAATCTATTTGTGGGCACATATGATTAATCTGTGTGTATTGCTATCCTTCAGGATAGCACACTAAAGTGATCAATCAATTTGGGTTAATGAGTATTTTAAATATAATCATGGGGTTATATGTGCAGATACCAGGTTGTAATTGTGATTTGATGAGGGGCCAAATTGTAAATGTACAACATCTATAAATAAGGGGTTATGGTCCCTAATCTAGGGTTACATTCTCTAATTCTCTTTACCCCCATCTAGAGAGAAATTTGGCTAGAGAAACCCTAAGGTTAGAAGATCAAAAACCCATCTCAAGTTTAATCTATGGATTCAGGTATAAGCTTCCGCTCTTTTCTTTTGATTCTTGTAAATCTCTTTGAATTAATCATGGCTTTATGGTATAGATCTTAAGTTTTTATAAGATCTAACAAGGGATATCAGAGCCACATGTGATTAATTCTTAGGGGTTTAAGTTCTTAAAAAATTGGGTTTTTTTATCTTAAAATCTCTGGTTTTGATTAAGAATTGTTCTCGGATGAACAATAACGTGTGGATGAACAGTTATGTTTTTTATTTTTCGGATGAACAGTAACGTTTTGGAATTTGTTGGATTTTTTTTTCTTGGATCTGGATCACGAAATTTTTTTTTTTCGATTCTGGATCTGTTTTTGAAATAAAATCGAGAAATTTTGGATCTATTTGGTTTGTTGGTCATCGGTCCCGTGCTCCTCGCCGGCGCAGCGTCGCTGGCGGCCTCGCTCTAGACTCCGACGGCGACGGCGGCGTCAGGAAACCCTAGGGTTTCGACCTTTGGGTGCAGGAGCAATGGCGGCGGCGGTTTCAGATTGAAACCCTATCGTGTTCATTTTTAAACGAACCTCGCGTTCGTTCCCAAGTTGAACCTCGCGTTCTTTTATCAAACGAACCTCGCGTTCGTTCATTTTCAGACGAACCTCGCGTTCGTGCTTAAGTGAGTCTCGTACTCAATACAGTCGAACCTCGCGTTCGAAGTTAAGGGAACTTCGTGTTCATTATGGTTAAGCCTCGGCTTTTCATGGGTCCACTTTGGTATACTTAATTTATTCAATTAAGTTATGGGCCCTAATTAAGCTGTGAGACCCCAATTAAGTTTTTGGAAATTCAGTTGATTTAAATTTTTTAATTTAAATCTAATTCGGTTTTTAATCAATTATTTAATTCAAATATTATGACACTAAGGTATTAAGGTTGTCTCTCACTCCAATTGATTAATTGAAACAAGAAGTTGCCAAAGTAACCTCTCTTGTGTAGATTGTTCATGAGGAATGTGAGATGTTTGTGTGTATGCTTTCGTGTAAATATTTAATCGGCCCAAAGGAAGGTTAATATTTATTTAGACTGTATACACATCTGCGATGATAAGCGTGTGACAATTATAAGGTTTACATGTGAATAATGAATCGATCCAAAGATAGTTTCATTATTTGACATGAGTTATTGTCAATGTTTGATCATTGCAACAAGGTATCACTTACAAGTTAATATTACTGTCCAAAGACTTGATATTAATGTTGTGCCGGTATCTTGGATGGGGATTGTCATTATTTGAATTTTATTGATTATGGTTATTGATGTGAGCATTCTTTTGTTTTATTTCAGCTAATGCATCTGCTGCAACAATTTCTGCTAACATCAACTCAATTCCCATGCTAAATGGGACAAACTTCAAGGTTTGGAAAGAGAACATATTAATTGTTCTTGGCTGCATGGATCTTGACTATGCATTAAGAACTGAACAATCCCAACCTCTCAATACGGATAGCACTCCTGATGCAAAGAAGGAGTATGAGAAGTGGGAGCGTTCAAATCGCATGAGTCTTATGATCATTAAGCGCGGCATTCTGGAAGCCTTCAGGGGCATAGAATCCGAAGGGATTACTAAGACTAAAGATTTCCTTGCCGAAATTAAGAAGCGTTTTGCAAAAAACGATAAGGTAAAAACAAGCACGCTCTTAGCTCGCTTGATTTCAATGAAGTATAAGGGCAAAGGAAATATCAGGGAGTACATTATGGAAATGTCTCATATTGCTTCAAAGCTTAAGGCACTTAAACTCGATCTTTTTGATGAGTTATTGGTGCATCTGGTTTTGTTGTCTCTTCCTGCACAATTCAATCAGTTTAAGGTCAGTTATAACTGCCAAAAGGAGAAATGGACTTGTTTGCTTCGAAAGTTGTTATTTTTATTGCTATCGAATCTATTACAACTTTAGTCGTTACAATAAACTCGAATAAAATAAAAAGTTGATCTTTGTATAAGATCTCCTTACACAATGAAAATAAAAAAAGAATTTACAACTTTATCAAACAAACGCAGAGATCGTTTATCGGTCTTCTGCTTACGTGGGATCTTTACCTGTGTCGGGGTTTATCCGTGGACCGCCTTTGATCTGGATCCGGTTGATGAAAAATTCGGCAGAGCTTCGTCTTCACCGAGGAAGTATTTGATTTGAAGCGCTGAGATCGACCAAGCGAAATCAGGGCTCTTCTCGAGATTAAGCCCAAGCCTAATCTCAAGGGACGGACGGGAATGGGTGTCGGATCTCTCGAACTCTCCTTCTTTATGTCGAAGAACTAGCCAAGATCTGTCAACCCTCGCTGAAATTCGAGCTTCTTTGACTCCACAATCCGGCAACACCTCCTCGTCTTGATAATCAATTGTCCCCGCTGAAAGGAGGCCCTAGGCTTGTATTTATAGGGCTTCCGAAGCGGTTATTTGGATGAGAACAAGTGATTTGGCCTTATCTTTAGTCAATAACAGCCTAACCACGTTTGGGGATGATCTCAAGCTAGTTAAGAAACCTGGAACAGATGAATCCTGCGAAAAACCACTTTAAAACCGTCAAAACGCGTTTCGGGTACCAAACTGCGCGGCAGACTGGTCTGACCTGCGCTTGCGCGGGTCGGACAGATCCGACCCTCGAATTTTTGCTGAGCTCTGGTGTTTTCTGGTCTTTCCGGGACTTGTATTTTCTACCGTTTTGCGTAATTGATCGTCTTGTTGACTTGTACGCTTCGTTGCGGAATTGACCGTCGAACGCGTGTTGATTGACACACACGTGTTGATTGACGCGCGCGTGTTGATTGACGCATGCGAGCTGATTGGCGCGCACGAGCTGACTGTCAAGCGCGCAGGTCACTTGATTCGCCGTTTTGCTTCAGGCGCTTGTCGGCGTCAGATAATCCTCTTAGACTCGGATAACGATGTTCGTCGTCTTCTCTCTGTCTCAAGCTGTGTACGGACACCTATAGGCATTTTTAGACGCCTACAGATACCCCCTCCAAAGTATTCCAGACTCATTCTTTTATTGAGGAATCTGGAATGCTTTGGATAAGATAGGCCATCTCCTCAATTTCGTAGAGTGATCTTGAACTATCTCAATTCTTAACTTCTTCAGTCTTCAATCTATTCATTGTTTCGTCGAATAGGTGAAGTTCTTCCGGCACTGCGTTTATCGTCTGACCGCTGTCGAAATCTTGTACTGAGATTAGTGTGTAACTTTCTGAGCTTAGCTCGTGCCATTGAGTTGGCTTTGAACTGATCCTCTCTGTCGGGAATTCATATTTGATTGTAACTGAAATCCTTGGAGTCATCTTTTGCCTTATTTTGGCGAGATTGCTGATGCGCTGACCAGCATCGACTTTCACTATAACGCGTTGTTCGGCGTTGACTTTAGTTGTAACGCGTTGACCAACGTTAACACAGTTTATACTCATACGTTTGCTGGAGTCTACACAGTTTAAGCTCTTAAGGCATTGGAGCGTGAAGGTCCCGAATGTTGGGCTGCAGGACCAACTATTAAAGCTGATTCATCTGCACGTGTGGATCTTATCCTGAAGTTTGTTGGATGTTCAGGTCATGAGACCAACTAATGAAGCTGATACGTCAATGACTAGCATTTATAGAATTTTTGGCAAATTCTCAGCCATCAACGGGTTTGATAAGCCTTTACCGACTACCGTTTGAGTCGGGCTAACATACGGATTGTTTAAGTCGGTTCTGCATGTAACGTTATGCTAAAAGAGTTAACTCTTTTAGTGTTACGATATTGAATACGTAGACTTCGTCTTTCTCCTGTGAAAAGACTAAACAGCGACGTGTATCAGACGTAGACTTTAAGGTTTTTGGCAAACCCTCAGCCTTCAACGGATATGGCTTGCCTTTACCGATTACCGTTTGAATCGGGCTTGCATGCGGATTGTTTAAGTCCGTTCCGCACGTGACGTTGTGCTAAAGGAATGAACTCCCTTAGACTTGATGCTACGATATTGAATACGTAGACTTCGCCATTGTTACGGGAATAGGCTACCCGGCAACGTGTATTAGACGCTGACCTATCCCTACTTAGGCTTCGGGATAAAAGTCCCCAGATTGGAATTCTGGTGTCTTCTTCAATCGGTGAAAGACTAAACCGGCAACGCGAGTTAGGCGTTGACTTATCCCTACTTAGGGTTCGAGATAAAATTCCCCGCGCGTGTGAAGCACGGATTTTGGCGTTATGAATAACGACTTGCCACAATATCGAATATGTGGGCTTTTGTTCTTTTTAAGGTTAAAAACTAACCGGCAACGCGTGTTAGGCGTTGACTTATCCCTACTTAGACTTCGGGATAAAATTCCCCATGCATAAAAGACATGGATTTTTGTTGCTACGATGCTGAATACGTAGACTCGGTCATTTTTTATGGGGACGAACCACCCAGC